GATTTTTAACTAAAGATTTATTTTTAATTTTTAGTAAGGTAGTATTCGAGATATTTGTAGTAATTAGAGATTGCGAGAACTCTCGAAATTTGATCACATTTCTTTAGATTCTTTAAATATTTGGTTTTATTTAATGACCATATCATCAACATCATCAACAGCCTTTACTAGTCCACTGCTGGACATAGGTATCTCCTTAAAAAGGAGGTTTTGGATGTATAGGGTTTGTGTCAAGTTTTCCTTCTCTCTGCAGTGCTGTTGTCCTGCGTAGTTAGCTCCTTTAGTCGGCTCTTACGACACCCACAGGATGAATAGGGGTGGTGACACTCTGTATTCTTAATCCGTCACCGCACGGACAGACGAACTATATCGTGGTCATTAAATAAAACAGGAATAATAATATAAAATATTATTAAGTTATTATTGTAATGATAACTTAATACAACTCAAACAAGCCTGTTCAAATCCAAACCACCCCATGCTGTTTGTCCGTAACGTAAATTTGCAAAGAAGTGAATGTGTTTGCTGACAAACTCTCCACTTATAAGAAAGTTGTTTTGAGATTGTTGAAGCCTTTAGAAATATCCATTAATCTTATTTAACATTTAATTTTACAAGCATGAATTACCTTTTAATTGTTTATTTTATTTGTGTTCATTCGTTTTGTTCACTCGTGTTATTACTGGTGCATGTTGTGACTCCTTAAAATGCTGTATATTTAAGTTAGTTTTGGTAACTTTATTATTCATTATCAACAGCCTTTACTAGTCCACTGCTGGACATAGGCCTCTCCTTAGGAAGGAGGTTTTGGCCTACTATACCACGCTGGCCAGACGGGTTGGTATAGGGTTTGTTTCAAGTTTTCCTTCTCTCTGCAGTGCTGTTGTCCTGCGTAGTTTGCTTCCTTAGTCGCCTCTTACGACACCCACGGGATGAATAGGGGTGGTGACACTCTGTATTCTTAATCCGTCACCACAAGGACGATTATATTTATTATTAATTATGTAATTTATTATTTCCTATGCATTATTATTATTTCGTGTAACAGCAACTGGTTATAAAAAAATATAAAATATGCAAAGCCCGTGCAATGGGCACCACACTACTGATATACATTTTTTTTATTTATCATTACCATAATAGATAAATTACACCCAGACAGAACAAAAAATGATCATGATTATCACACATTTGTCCTATCCGGGAATTTAACCCACGACCTTTGGTAGACCAACAGGGCAGTTGATCAAAATTTTCAACATTAACGGTTTATGATTATAAACTAGTATTTTACACTGTCTGGTATTTATTATCAATTACGCTTGTCATTTAAACATTAACATCATCACCATCAATAGCCTTTAATAGGCCACTGCTGGACATAAACCTAGAAAAGGACAAAAGATACCTTTAATCTATACTAATATTATAAAGCTGCTTTGCTTGAACGCGCTAATCTCGGGAACTACTGGTCAACAAAAATTACAAAAATTATTTCAGTGTTTGATAACCCATTTATCGCTATATATCATCACGCTAAGACCAATAGGAGTGGAGCACCAATGAAGAATGTTTCAAAATTGTTTTTTTTCCCTTTTGAGAGCTTTCGCTGGGTGCGCTGCGCAGACGGAAATAGATTCTTAACGTACGTATTATTTAAAAATATTCACCTTCTACGTAAACGAAATCACGGGTTAAAGTTAGCGTAAGCCAAAAGTAACAATTCCACGCGGACGAAGTCGCGGGCAGAAGCTAGTTTAAGAAAAAAACCCGAGAATTAAAAAAAATATGATTCGCTGACAAAAGTTACTGTATTCCTTGTGTAGTTTTAGGATATACTATAGTTAAACCGCCGTAAGCTTGGCCCTCCTGATGATTTGCGGGACGCGGGGCGGGTGATGCGCTCGGCTATACATGACACGATGTACTAACTCGATATCTTCAGATTTATTTGTTTGAGATTTAATCTACACACGATGTTATAAAAATCGAATTTATTTCCATGTATTATAATGTCAGTGTATTGTAAGTTTTTATGATTAATTGTAAAATTTAATACTGTAAAATAATTTTAATAAAATCACCTTATCTTCATCATGTAAATTATAGTCAGATACAATTTAAAAATTAAGAAAAATAATAAATATTCTTTATTAGAACTTTAACAGTAGAACCTCTGTAAGCCGAACTTCAAGTTTTTAAATCTATTTGTGACGCAGAGTCGGCAGATTATCCATATTGCAAAATAATACCGTGTGTAGCAGTTTTAAGAAAAAATAACACGTACAGCCATACTTTCACGTCAGTCACTGCCGGCGGACAGCGACGCACTAGCTAATTGGTTGAATGCACCCCCGCCCCGCGTCCCCCAAACCATCAGGAGGGCCAAGCTTACGGCGGTTTAACTATCCATACCTACGCTTTGGGTTATGAGCCTAAGGATTACAGCATTACAGGATTAAAGACGGGCCTGTTGGTCTAGTGGTTAGTGACCCTGACTGCTAAACCGGAGGCCGTGGGTTCGATTCCCACCCAGAACAAATATTTGTGTGATGAACACGATCGTTTGTTCTGTGTCTGGATGTAATTTATATATAATATGTGTGTATTTAGAAATATATAAGTATGTTTATCAGCAGTCTGGTCACCATTGCACAGGTTCCGCCTAGTTTGGAATGAGACAGCCGTGTGTAAGAAAAAAAACTCATTCCCTAGGTCTTCAGACCCTAATATACAGTATGACTGTAAAAGTTGTGTTAGGAAGTGATTTCCCATACAGAGGAGCGAGGTTGTGACAGTGATTGGACCACACCTTCGGTACAGGACGCTTATACATTCATATACGAACTATCTGTTGGTGTGGAGAAGGCATTTTATGTACATGAGCTCAATAGACCCTGTCGTTGCTGTTGATTTTTGTACGGTTCTAGGGTTGAAATGACCAGCAATTTACAAGTTTCTTTTTAGATACACTGATTGCATACATTCTGTAATCTTTATTGTCTAAAATAATACATAAAATAATACACACACACAAAAACATAACATTTTGCTAATTTGATGTAGTTCACCTCTCACCCTTGGAAATCTTTTTTTTGGACATCTGACACACAACGCCATCTAGTTTCAAACTAAGCAGAGCTTGTACTATAAAAGCTAGATTGACTTATAGAATACTTAAATACTTTTTTGTAAATACACACATATTAAACATAGAAAACACCCAAACACCCATACTTATTTGCAGATTATAAAACTTTTGGTCCGACCCGCGAATCGAACCCGAGACCTCAGCACAGTAGTCGCATACGCTACCACTGCACCACCGAGGCAGTCTAGTGTGTGCGTTAACCCCTTTGGGTGCCCTCCCTCCAAAAGCAATAGAGGGGGGGGGGGGGTTGGGGTAGGCTAGTCCTCCGGCAAAGGTAAATACGTCTAATGTATTTTATGGTTATTATATTTTATGGGTATATTTATGGTTCCACTGAGAAGTGAAAACATTATTAGGAAACACACAAGAAAACTATTTATTAGGAAACAACTCTGGTAGCACGGTAGTGCCACTGCACCGCCAAGACGAGCCACTCGAACCGCAAAGGGCGCTACCTAATTACGAGTAGTATTCTCGAAATGTTGCGTCGTTTTTTTTAACCCTCATTACTTGGGTTTGGATTTAAAGGAAAATTACAGGAACACATGAAAATTTAACATTGTGTGTTTTACTAAATTTAGTTATACCACATCCATTACTTCATAGGTGGTGGCTCAAAAGGCCCACCAACACGTCGTTCTTGAATTTCACTCAGTGGGTGCGTTTCGTGAAAACCATATCGCAGATTCGGTTCCCAGTCGCCTTGGTGTCAAGTGGTTACTGGTTACTCCCGTGGTATTTTACCATTTACATTATCACCATTCATTAAAATTTAAATTATAACATTATTGATAATTTTTACACGTGAATTTTGACATGTTTTTAAGATAAACAGCAGTTTAAATATGTGCTGTTTTAGACTAAAATTTATCTATGGGCCTAATTTCATTCAGATTCGTTATGTTGTTCTGGAGAGTTTTTTTTTTCTCCCGCACTAGGAATAAATCCTGTGTCGCGGTTGACTTTACAAACAAACATGAAACGTACACAAAGTACACCCAGACTCAGAACAACAATTTGTGGATCACACAAAGTGTCGTCCCATGTGGGGTTAGAACCCACAACACTCGGCGCAGTAGAAAGCGGCGTGGCGACCGCTTAAACCACTGCGCCATCCGTGCAGTCACTTCTACAAAAATATCCAAAACCAAGTAAAATGAACAATATTGCCAAAAAAGGAAGATGCTAAATTCCATAAAAAGTTTTGTGTTTCAACATAAGTCTTCTAAGAACAGTAAAATAAGTGGCGGTATTGTAATGATGGGTTCGAACCCCAATATCGTCGCATCGTGAGTACTCCTAACAAGGATACTAGTATTGTGTAACCCATGTTACTAAAAACATAATATATCATAACTAAGGATCATAAAGAAATTTAAAATTGTTTAAAATCATCTCTTATGTAGACTCCAAAGTCATAGATCAACACACACAAGATCAATAATCTCTGTTTTGTCAAATATTTAGCAAAATAAATATATACGTAAAGTATACCCAGACTTTAAGATTCTCGCCAAATAACGCCAAATGAGTTTTTTGATATAAAGAATAACTTTATATCAAAGTTTACACTGCATACAGAAGTCAATAGGTTAACAGACAGTATGAAATTGCAATAGAGCTGCGTCAAACGCTACCAACAATACGAGCCCGGGGGACTAAATAATTAATGATGATTGGCCTTAAATTACCCTCTCGGGACCTCTAGCTATCCCTTTTACACCCACACTAACTCACCCGCCGAACCTTTTCGCGCAAACAGGGAACCTATATAAGCCAAACAGGTAAGCGTCCAAGTTAAACCCCTGCGGGACTCCGAGCCGTAAACACCTGTACTAAAAAATTCGAAATGGCCACCGAAACTTACGGACATCGACTCATCTACGAGAAGGACATGTTTACCTCGGACGTGATGCTTGAATATGCTACCGAGGACTGTTATTTATCCTGGCCGAGGTCCCCTGACTCTGGAAGGTCGAGCTTGGAACCTACACCTTCAATCGACGGCAGCATTAACCAAGATTCTTCGCACATCGCATACAGAGGATTGTCCAGGGATATTTTGGAAGACAGTGCTGAAGATAACGAAGTGCTTGAGTCTGGAAAGCGTCGCGGACGTGCTACGAGTGCTGCTGTTTTAAGAAGAAGGCGCTTAGCAGCTAATGCAAGGGAGCGAAGAAGGATGCAGAATTTGAATAAGGCGTTTGACAGACTTCGTGGTCACCTGCCGTCTTTGGGTGCTGATCGCCAACTTTCTAAGTACGAGACTCTCCAAATGGCCCAGACGTATATTTCTGCACTTTATGAGTTACTCCAGTAAGTAATAAATTTTCGTCGCTACCAGCCAAATTAGTGTATCTACAGGGATATTTATTGTAAATTTAAGTACCATAATACGCGTTACCAGTTAGTATAATCAGCTTTGAGATTTTCGAGTTTAAAACGATAGTGTCAAGTTACTGTATCGTGTTGCATATAAAAATTTACGCTTATAATTTTAGTACTTATAAATTTCTTGTACAGTTTTTTTTTGTTCTTTGCCGAGACACGGAAGTGAAATTAAAGTTTTTTTTAAATTAAAACCAGAAACAATTAATCGTCATTTCGCTCGTTATTTAAAAAAAGTATTTAAGGGAGTGTACTCGTATAAAACCTATACTAATAATGAAATCAAGAAGCATTATGGAAATGTAGCTCAAATTTTACAACGATTTACATTATTTGCTCTACTTGTTACATTTATATGTAACTAAAAAAAACGTTTCATTTAATTTGAAACGGACACTTATTTAAAATAATTAATGTGTGCAAGGTAAGCTTCGTGTAGCACATTTATATGTTAAACAATATGTATGAATTTAGCTTAAGCACATTCTCACCAGTGTAATCCGTCCTACCGATTTAGTTTTAGTTTTTAATTTAGTAGACAAATCATCTTTGCCTGCAAAAGTATTAGAAATTAATTCACTTGTAATGTGCCACTGAAAGTGTAGTATACAAATAAGTGTTAAAAGTAACGTTGAAAAAATTACTTACATTTACTTTTAAATTTAAAAAAATTAATTACTAACGCATTAAAGTGATACGCCTTTTATCATTATTTTTTATTACGATATTTGGAATATTTTTTAACGAAACCTACATTGTAATTTAATATTCAATTAATAACAATAAAGTTACCAATGTTACTTGAACCAATCGATCGAAAAAGATAAAAAAAAATGTAAAATTTTTGTATTAATTAATTGTGTATTGTATGTATTTTTTTCAATGATACTTTTTAAATATATCTTGTAACAATACAAGTGCTAGTATTATGTTGTTAAAACTAGTGTGTAGACTGTTTATGTATTTTTAAGGTAGAATTAAAATGTTTTTTTTTCATTTGTAAATATACAAATTATGTTTGAATTTTTGTGTTTCTTTCTCTTTTACCCTGAAAGCAAAAAAGTTAGTTTTGACAGGAACACGGGTAAGGTAGATTTCTACTTAATTTAATTAAGGTAACACACTACTTTGTAATATTGTACATCGTGTTTTGTCGCTGATTAATTTATTTTTAAAGACATACAGATTCAAGTTTTACTATGAAATGAACTATCACATCATCACATCAACAGCCTATAATAGTCCACTGCTGGACATAGGCCTCTCCTTAGAAAGGAGGTTTTGGCCTGCTATACCACGCTGGCCAGACGGGTTGGTATAGGGTTTGTATCAAGTTTTCCTTCTCTTTACAGTGCCGTTGTCTTGTGTAGTTTTCTCCCTTAGTCGGCTCTTACGACACCCACGGGATGAATAGGGGTGGTGACACTCTGTATTCTTAATCCGTCACCACACGGACTATGAACTAAATGAACTAAATGAACTAAATGAAAGAATTTCTAAGAACACTACATTCAAAACACAAAGTGAAAAATAGCTTCTCTATGCATCTCCTGTCAACACCCTCGTTGCTAAGTCAGATCTGTTCCACTTGTGAAAATAAATCATATAAGTCCAACATTGAACGGTTTACCTTACAGTTAGCGAATAGAAGAAATGCAGAAAGCTGAAACATTTACATTATGTTAATATTTTTCCGCGTGGTGACGGATTAAGAATAGGTACGGAATGTCACCACCCCTATTCATCTCGTGGGTGTCGTAAGAGCCGACTAAGGGAATAAGCTACGCGGGAAACCAGCACTGCAAAGAGAAGGAAAACTTGAAACAAAGCCAGCGTGGTATAGTAGGCCAAAACCTCCTTCCTAAGGAGAGGCCTATGTCCAGCAGTGGACAAATTAAGGCTGTTGATGATGATGTTGATGAATATTTGCACTTTATATTTATATTGAAAATACAAAAAAACATGAAAAGGTACCATAAGATTTACCAAATAGAATCTGTATGAAGCGTAGCGGCTGACGCCAAAGCCATAGGTCGCTTCGCCCTTTTATCTGAAAGTTCAAAACCATAAACTTCAATAAACATGATTTAGTATCCACCACAATTTTATTCTAATGTATTCCTCTTTTCAAACACAAATCGTTTTTATCTTTTAAAGGGATTACCTAACATTTAAAAAAGCTATTTACATAATAATAATAATGATAGGTTCGCATTGACTAGCGTCACAGTTTAGATTTAAAGGATATAATATAAAAATATTTTGGGCACCTTACACGCAACGCCATCTAGTTTCAAACTAAGCAGAGCTTGTACTATGAAAGCTAGATTGACTGATAGAATACTTATATACTTTTTTTTGTAAATACATATATATTAAACATAGAAAACACCCAAACTTCGAAATAAATATTTGCAGATTATACAAACAATACGTGATGATTTAAAATTTTCATTATGAATGAAAATAAAATGCGCCCTTTGTACATATATACATATGCATATATACATGCGGCTTGGATATACCTATGTATTATATTACTATATTTACATAATAATTGGTATCGGTACTGGTTGTGGGCTCCGGTTTCCGCATTTAGATTCAAGAATGGTCCTTTATGCGTAGAGGAACGGTTGTCTAGGTGAGCCAACCCAGCTCCGTCCAGAAGGGCAGAAGTCTCCTGGGGTGTTCACATGCTTCTAGAAGGTATACTTTTACATAATAAGTATAATATACCAAATTTGCTAAGAATACTATCCATTTATTCGTGTTCCGTACACAAACCGTAAGTCCTTTAATACGAGCTACCTATGCTTAATTCGTGGCTATTGCAATTTGTATTCCCATATATGACGTTCATCAACAGCCCTTCACAGTCCACTGCTGGATATAGGCTTCTCCTTAGAAAGTTTTGGCCTGCTATACCACGCTGGCTAGACGGGTTGGTATAGGGTTTGTTTCAAGTTTTCCTTCTTTTTATGTTGTCTCCATATATGACAAGAATTACCATTTTACATCAAAACTTTTTACACTGAAATGTTATGTTTTATCATCAAAAAAGCATTTAGAAAGTAACTATCCTAATAACTGTCTAATCTCATAAAACTTCATTATTTTGTAGAGTTTTATAAAATTCTATCTTATAGCATTCTCCCTGACCCGTTCATTTCATCAGTCATTATTATAAATTTACTTTTTTTTAAACAGTTGAAAAGTTTTTAAATCTTGTCATTGTTGTATCGTGTCTTAGTCTTAAACTAGCTGGGAATTTGAATAGCCCTGCCTTAGTGAGTTCGATTCCCGGACCAGGCAAAACTTTATAGGGTTTTTTCTGGGAGAAAAAAGTCTAAGTTACTCCTTATATAGACAACTATTTAGTAGTAAAATATTATCAAAATCGGTCCACCCGTTTTAAAGATTACCCGAAACAAACAGACAGATACAGACAGATAGAGAGACAAAAAATATTTAAACTGGTTTTTAGGCATAGGTATCGTGCAAATAACCGTGTAAGCATGAAAAAAACCTATTATTTTGACATTACAAACAGACACTTTAATTTTATTTATTTGTATAAATTGGGTTGTTTTTCAAATTACAAATTTATTAACTGTCAAATTCATCAAAACATTACCTACCACCCAGAAATCCACTCTGCCCTTTTAGATCAGCGATGACATCAACTTTTCCTCCCCATCCAAGAAATATCAAGGGTGGCATCCCCAGAGTGACAGGACAATCAGTCAAGACTCAGGGGTATGCAAATTGAGCAGATGTTTCTAGAACAAAAACGTATTTTACTGATAAAATACTTGTTAACCAAACGATTTTCTACTTTATGTCTTTTCCATAAGATTGATTAATGTTTTTAAGTTAATGTAGGTTTATAGCTGGCCCGTGTCCGGTAGTTGATATTGTTATTGAACAGAAATAGGGCAGTTTTGTCAGTACTAGATATATATCTGTGTGTCTACGAAAGAAAGCGTTTGATGGTATCTTTTATGATTAAAGTAAATTACAGTAAGGTGCAATTGTATTGTAGGACTGCATTGGCGGATATACGAGAAATACACATACATACATATGTACATTCGTACGTTTATTAGATTTTTTTTTTTTTTTACACACAACGCCATCTAGTCCCATACTAAGCAGAGCTTGTACTATGGGTACTAGACAACTGATATAAATACATATATACTTTTTTTTTGTAAATACATACATATTATACATAGAAACACCCACACCAAATCAAACATCAAATGTTCATGCACACAAATGTTTGACTTGAGCGGGAATCGAACCCGCGACCTTTGGAATAGCAGTCCGTTACACAAACCACTACGCCATCCAGTCGTCAAATTTAATAGTATATAAAGTTAGACATAGTTAATAAACTTGTAAGAAGTATCTATATTAAGCATAGTAAATAAGTAGAAATAATGTAAATAAAAAAGTTTCACTGTTGCATCTTATTACCCTTTTTTCCTGTGCTGAAATCCTCTCGGATACCACCTACCGGGGGCTATGTCGGACTCGAACCGACTAAAAACCGCACGAAGTCTCGGGTACCAGTAGCCAGGGAACCAGGTGTACCCTAGAAAGGAAATCCCTGGTACCCCGACGTACCTCGGGGCATCTACGGCGGGTAGATGACCCCCTCCTGTGTGGGAACCCCTATGTTCCCTTGGTGCTCCCAAAAGGGCACGCGCGCTACGCAGCGCGTCTCGCCGCCAGCATCTTATTACCCTGGACTAAGTAAATGAAAGATAAACATTAGTAGAATCGCAGGAATCCCACCTGGACGGTATGAAAGGCAGTGTGAAATAAAGATCAAGTATGAAGAATGAAAGTAAGTAGGAAATGAGAGAACTAGAATGAATGGACAGAGTAGAGAATAGGCTCCAAAGAACATTGGAGGTGCTAGACAGC